CTGTGTCTGTCCTTTCATGTGCTGCTCCGAGGGGCCGCTCTGGGCGCGGAGCACACGCCGCTTCCCGGGGCTGCAGCGCGGAGCCTGCCAAGCTGGAAGATGTGGAGGCTTTTTGGGAGAGAGGAGGAGCCTGCTGGGAGCCCTTCCTCAGCCCTGGCTGCAGGAGCACGGAGGAGGGGAGGAGCAGGGCTGCGAGCTTCCCTCACCACACCAACCTACAGAGGGGTTAATTTTCCAGTCCCAGACAAAGAATTCCCCAAAACGCTCCAAAGGCGCCTCAAACCCACCCTGGTTCAGCTGATCCCTTCTGGTCTGCACCAGTACACACCAGCAGGCACCAGTGGCACCATCATCCGCCTGCCTGTGCTCTTCCACAGCTGCTGGGAGCACCCTGGGTTAGTGGGAGGTGTCCCAGCCATGGCCCAGAGGATCCCTGAGGTCCCTTCCACCCCAAACCACCCTGAGGTTCCATGATTTTGGTTTCCTCACCCTGATTATTCAGGATCACAGCTTCTGAACAGAGCACGGGCTCTGGAGCCCTTTCTCAGCCTGGCTTATGCTGAAACCACATCACAGGAGCTGCAATCCACGTCCCCCTGCACTAAACCTGCCTGCTGTGCACCACAGAGGGGGTTTTTAAACCCACTATAAACCACTTTCCCCTGTTTCTGAAATAAGTCAGCTCTGGGCTCGTTCTAATGGCCGTGGGTTTGTGACTCTGCTGCTGAATGGCCCCAAAACAGTCGCTCCAGCCCCCAAATCCCCACCACAACCTTTCAAACCGAGCCTGAAGCAAAACCACTTGTGCCTTACCAAAGCAGAGAGGCCCCAAAGCCACCCCAGCACCCCCAAAACCCCCAGGGCTGGGCTCCCAAACCGCAGCGAGCAGAGGGAGCAGCGTGGGCAGGGAACAGCCACAGCTGGGGGGCACAGAGACAACAACTGAGGCCGGCTTTGAAGAACTCAGGAAAGGACTGGGCTTCAAGCTGAGCTTCCCAGGTTCTCCTCCAGCCCCCAAAGCCAGGCTGGAGCCCAGCATGGCTTTAACGTGGCTTGCAGAGCTGGCAGTGGAGCAGCAGCAGCGTGGCTGGGCCTCACAGTGAACACACCCCCAGATCTCCACTGTCCCTTCCCAAATCAGCTGGGTTTTACCCCATTCCCACTCCCAGCCCCTCCACCCGCCCCCTTTGTTTCCCTGCAAGCAGCTGCATCGAGGAGGGAGTTTTTTCCTTGCCAATCCATAGGATTTCCCAGGGGTGGCTACGGTATGGGATAAGCATCCAGCTCCTTGGCAGCTGGAGGAGCCAAGAGCAACAATCCCAACCCACAGCAGGAGCCAGCACACCCCATCCAACACCAGGACCCGCTGGAATTCCGAAACACAACTGGAGAACAAAGAACCAGGGGTGAAAACCCTTCCCTGTGTCCTCTGCTCTCCAATTTTGGGTTGCCTGGACACCCCCGTGCCCCAGCCCCCATTCCCAAGGGAAGTCCCAAGGTGATATCCCAGGATTTTGTTCGACCAAACAGAGTTCTGGGTGGCAGTGAGGCAGGTCAGGAGGGTTCTTCTGCCCAGCCCCGTTCACCAGCACGGTGGGAACACCAATGGAGTTCTGGAGCAGGGCAGAAAATCCCTTTATGGAGGGGAAGGAATTCCCACCCTGGGCAAGGGAAGGAAGCGACACCGGGCTGTTCCTCTGATCCCAGCTCGCAGGAATGGCTGTTTGCTTTGGGAGCCTTCGGCATTCCCAGGGAGCCCAGAGCTGGATCAGCGGCCCAGAGGAACCCCCTTCACCTCGGCCTTCAGCTTCCCACCGGGAGACACTCCCCTCTCAGGAACAGGTGGAAAACTGGGAAAGACCCTGAGACTGGGCCCCAGGAGGTGACCCCGTTTTGCCACCAGTGTGGATACATCCCCCCAAAACCAGGGAGATGGGGTGGGAAGAGCTCCAGCCTCCTCACTCTTTCCAACATCCCGAGGGGTGTCTGTCCCAGCCCTTCCCAGATCCAATCCCCGCTTCCTTCCCCACGTGTGGGATCTAATTAGGGCCAGAAGGGAAACGTTTGTAAACCCCAAAGCCCCCACCCCGATGTCGCTCCGGGCTCCTGGCCCAGCTCTCCTGGGAAAGGCTCTGCTGCAACCACTGGAATCTCCACAGGGAAAAAAAAACCCTCCAGAATGAATGCACAGCCAATCCTCCCAGCTGGGATCTACCAGAGGGGCTGCAGCAGCTTGGAAATGCATTTTTATTGTACAAAACACACCAAAACTGGGGCCTTTTGCTGCGGAGGCCTTGGGGGGGACACACACAAACCAAGATTTGCTTTAAATTCAGCCCTTTGTGAACTCCCCAAAGGGTCAGGAGCAGATAAAGCACATTGAAACTACTCTGCATTTCACCCACAGAGCTACAAGGCTCTGATATTTCTGCTTTTGTGGCTTTTTGTTTACAAAACATCTCAGTGTCTGTGCCTCGGGTACATTAGATGGATTTTTTTTTAAGGAAGTGGAAGGTTTTTTGGCTTGTTTTGAGTGGCTGGAATCCCGCTTTTGCAAAACCCAATGTTCCTGTATTCGCCCAGCCAGCACTGAACATCTCCCAACCATGCAAATTCATACTAAAACCTGTAAAATAAAGCAAGTGAGGCAAGCAGCTGTACTTTTAATGCCTGCCCCTGTCAGTGGAGGCTCTTTGCTTTCCACTCCCAACCAGGAGATTCAAACACCAAAAAACTGGATCAAACTGACAAGACCAAAAGCTCTCAAACCCCCACTCTTCACAGCTCAACTGTCCTTAAGTTCAAAAAGACCATTAAACTGCCCTTTCCAAGCACAGAAATAAGCCCCAAGTTATTCTCCCCATAACCTTCTGAGTGCCCAAATAACTTCGAAGTTCTTTTTGTGGTTCCTTTTCCCGTCCCTCAGCTGGGCTGGGAGGGCATTCCCGGCATTTTGGGGCGTTATCCAGTGGATTACCCACTGGAGCCCTCAAGTCTGGCTCTGAACACCACGGGAAAGGAAGCCCGGATTATTTGTGAGAACTCCCCCCCAGAGTTTATTTCCCCACTAATCTCCACGTCCAGTGTGTAAAGGGTTGAGCAAACCCTGGCCGCTCTGCCCACGGTTACAAACATTAAACACAGATGTCCAAAACTCCGCTTTCCTCGAGAATTCGTCCAAAACTTTCTTATTGCGCAAGGAGCGGCGAAGCTCTGGGAGCAACCACTTCCACAAATGCCTGGAAATGCAGTTTAAAGTCTCCTCCTCCCTCTCCAGGTTCTCAGAACCCCCTCACGTGAGTGACCCAGTGTGCTTTTCCACCGTTTAAAAGCCACAAAAAACCCCTCAGAGCATTAAAATAAAACCCCACAACCGCTCAGCAGGGCCAGGGACAAACCTGAGCTTATCCCACGAGCCACAGGGCACCAGACAGGAGATCAAAGACCCCAGAAGAAAACCCCACAAATAAACTCAGATTCTCGGCCCCCACGCTGTAAATCCAGTTCAGCTTCGCAGGCACTGGACCACCCTGGACACAAACTCATCTCAGAGCTATTTAGCCAGAAAGGTGATAAAATCACCCATTCTGGGCTTCATCTGGCAAACATCAGAGATCAGCAGCGTCCTGCACACGGGGAGTTCTGGGGATGAACCCGAGGACTGATCTGGGGGTCAGCCTCAAATCCGGGGATCCCAAATCCAGGCACCTCCAGGGGCCCCAAATCAAGGGATCTTCAGGGACCCCAAATCCAGGGATCTTCAGGGACCCCAAATCCAGGGATCTTCAGGGACCCCCAATCCAGGCACCTTCAGGGACCCCCAATCCAGGCACCTTCAGGGACCCCCAATCCAGGCACCTTCAGGGACCCCCAATCCAGGTACCTCCAGGGGCCCTAAATCCAGGGATCTTCAGGGATCCCAAATCCCTCAGGCCTCCAAAAGCTGCCTCAGGCCCCTGATCGGGCCCTCCACGCCCCCCTCAGGGTCCCCCAGCCCTCCAGGAACCCCCGAGGGTCCATTTTAGAATCCCTTCAGAATCCCCCCCTTCCTCAGCCCCTGAGGATCTCCCTCAGCCCCCTCAGGGCTTCAGAGCTTTCTCAGACCCCCTGAGACCCCCACGCACCCCCTCGGCTCCCCCTCACCCCTCAGAGCCCTCCTCACCTCCCTCTCACCCCTCAGAGCCCCCGAAACCCCCACGCGGCCCTTGAGACCCCCCTGAGACCCCCACGTACCCCCTCAGCTCCCCCTCGCCCCTCAGCCCTCCCTGGCCCTCCCTCAGCCGCCCCTCAGCCCCCTCGGCCGCTGTGGGCCCCCGCGGTGCCCCCGGCCGTGCTCACCGGCGCCGGCGGCGGTGGCGGCCATGGCGGGGGTCGCGGAGCCGCCCCCTCCTCGCTCCGCTCCGCCGAGCCAAGATGGCGGCGCAGGAAAACCTCGGCCGGCCGCGCAGCCCCCCCCGCCCCGGGGGCGGGGCCAGCGCCGCGCCGCACGCCTATTGGCCCAGCCGGGGGGCGGGAGGCGGGCTGAGGGGGGATGCGGCGCTGCTATTGGTGTGAATGTCGGGCTGGGGTGCAGACAGCGGGGCGGGGCGAGCGATGTAGGTCCCGCCCCCAAAGGGGAGGGGTGTGGAGGGCGTGTCCTTTGGGGGCGTGGTCACCGCGAAGGGATTGGGACTGGGATTGGGGCTGGGAATGGGAATGGGGTTGGGACTGGGAATGGGGCGGGAATTGTTTAGACAGGGATCAGAGTGTGGTGGACACTGGGACTGGGATTGGGGCTGGGAATGGGAATGGGGTTGGGACTGGGAATGGGGCGGGAATTGTTTAGACAGGGATCAGAGTGTGGTGGGCACTGGGACTGGGATTAGGGTTGGGAATGGAGTTCGGGTTTGGTTTGGGATGGGGATCAGGGCGGGAATTGAGACTGGGTCTTGTCACGAGACTGTTTGGCAAGAACCAAACAGGCAGCTCAGTTCAATGCATTTTCCAAGAGTTTTTCCCGGTTTATTCCAAAGTAAGACAAGAGCCAGATCAAAATCCTCTCCCAGGCTGAGAAGGCCTGGTTCTTGTAATATTTTGGGATAAATCCTCCTCAGCACTTCCCAAAACACCCCATGCCCCAAGGAAGACCTGGAATGGCCCCCAGAGCCTTGTCCTGACAGGAGAAGGGGGTGTGGGGTGGGAATTCAATCCTCTGGTTGTGTCTCCTGGGGACTGGGAGCGTCTGAAAGGTGATGCCGGCGCATTCCTGCAGAATTCATGAGGCTCTGGAGCCATCCTGGAGCCGGAGGGGCCAGGACAGGGACCCCAGGGAGGTAAGGACAGAGCTGTTCTGTGGGATGGGGGTCACATCCAGGGGCTTCCTCCTCCCTGGGACCCCCTGGAAAGAGGTTGGGACCAGGTAGGGTCAGGATCTGCTCCCAGGGGACAACAGGATGAGAGAAAGCGCTCTCAAGTTGCTCCAGGTGGGGTTTAGGTTGGATATTTGGGAAAATTCTTCCATGGAAAGGGTGGGCTTTTCCAGCAGTGATGGGCTGGGTGATTGGAGAGGTCTTTTCCCACCTTAGCAATTCCACAATTCCATAATTTGGGCCTGTGGATTTGTTTGCCATCCTTGGCGCACTCAGGGCTGCTCCTGGCACGCATTTTGACTTCACAAACACATAAATAAATTAAATAAATATCTGTATTAATTTAAATAGACATACACATTTAAATAAAAGCAAATGTTTATGACAAATATTATAACTATTGACTTACAAAAATAAGTTATAATACTAAATAATGTATTAATAATAATATTAATATGTAATATCTTAGAATACAAAACATGAGTGCATTGTATTACATCTATAAAGCACTAAAATATGTGTGATATGTTAGAATATGTTATATATAATAATATATAGAATATATTGATTTGTAATATAGCAGTGATATAAGTATTAAGTAATATTGAGTATTATATTAAATTATTATAGCAACACCAGTTCTAATGAATATTTAAATAGATATCCATACTTATTTGTTCAGATTCCTGGGACACACCTGGGGGTCCCTTCCAGCCAGGACACCCCCACCTGAGGGTCCCTGCATGGAGAGCCCCCCGGTGCCGCCCGCCCTGGACGTGGACAGGGCCGTGGCCACGGCCTTCGTGGTGCTCCTGGGGCTCTTCCTGCTCGCCATGACCGTGCGCTGTGCCCGGCTCGTGGTGGATCCCTACAGCGCCATCCCAACCTCCACCTGGGAGGAGGAGCCCATCAACTGACCCCCCAAACCTCCCGGGACCTCCAACCCCATCCCCACCTGGGAGGAGCAGCCCATCAACTGACCCCTCAAACCTCCCGGGACCCCCAAACCCATCCCCACCTGGGAGGAGGAGCCCATCAACTGACCCCCAAGCCCCGGGAACCCCAAACTCTGCAGCACCCCCTCCCCACATGGTGCTCCAACACCCCCAGCCCCACAGGCCCCCCTGCCATCGCAAGGCCACCCAGCACCCTCAGAGACCCCAGGAACCCCCCGACCCCTCCACCTCAGAGCCTCCATCAACCCCCCATCTCCCCTCTGGGCCCTCAGGGCCCCCCAGGGCCCCCCCTCGTGCTGCAACTGCCACAGAGGTGGCGGTTCATGGAACCTTCTGGAACCGTCGGTGGGACACCCAGAGCTCAGTAAAGAAGCGGGGGATGGCCCAGCCCAGCTCTGGGGCCCCCCCAGGTACCGAGGGAAGGCGGTCCCACCCAGCTTAGGGGCTCTTTGGCCGCACAAAGTAACAAGTTGGGCTTTAGGGGCCGCCTGAAGTAGCAAGGGGGCCCAAGGCAGTTTGGGGGCTCCGGGCCTGCCTGAAGTAACAAGTCGGGATCTCCGTGAAGTCCCAACCCGTGAGGGATCCGTAAATCCTGGCCAATAAATAGGGGCAGTCCCCTCGCGTGTTCCGGGGTGTACCCCCGGTTCATTCCCCCTTTATTCCCGGTTTATCCCCCTTTATTCCCGGGTTATCCCCACCTTATTCCCGGGTTATCCCCACCTTATTCCCGGGCTATCCCGGCCCCCCTCGCCAGGCGGCAGCACCGCGGGCCGCGGGCGGCGGAGGTGACGACAGGCGGGTTCCGCCCGGAGCCCCCCCCGGTCCGCCCCGGCTCGCCGGGACCGGCCGTGAGTGAGGGGAGAACGGGGGGAACGGGGGGCTCGGAGGGTACACGGGCCTCGGGGTGGCGGGAGGGGAGGGAGGAGACCGGCGGCGACTGCGGGAGGGCGGGAGGAATGTGGAGAATGGGGGGCTCTGTGGGGAATGGAGGAGACCGGGAGAGTCTGAGGGGACCGGGAGGTTCTGAGGGGACCGGAGGGCTCTGAGGGGACCGGAGGGCTCTGAGGAGACCGGGGGGGACCTGAGGACCGGAGGCTCTGAGGGGACCGGGGGGATCTGGGACTTGAGGGGACCGGGGGCTCTGAGGAGACCAGGGGGGACCGGGAGAGTCTGAGGGGACCAGGGAGCTCTGAGGGGACCGGGGGGATGCAGGAACTTTGAGGGAACCAGGAGAGATTGGGAAATTCTGAGGGGACCGGGGGACTCTCAGGGAACCGGGGAGGGGCTGGGAGGCTCTGAAGGGACTGGGGGGCTCTGAGGGGACTGTGATGGGGTAGATCTGGGGGGCTGTGGGGGATCGGAGGGCTCTGAGGGGACTGTGGGGATCAGGGGGAGTGGATCGGGGAATCATGAGGGGAGCGGGGGGCTTTGAGGGGATGGGGAGGGAGGTGGGGTCGGGAGGGATTGTGAGGGGACAGGGGCGGCTGTTGGGGGACATTGGGACGGGGGGAAGGTGTGCCTGCCCTCCCTCACCTGCTCTGCTCTGCTCTGAGGGGCAGCAGAGATGGATTCCATGGACATCGAAGAGCTGGAGGTGGTGGAGGAGCTGGGAATCTCCCTGGAGGAGCTGCAGGAGATCATCGACAAGGAGGTGGAGAACTCCGAGTGGGTGAGGCAGCGAAAGCGGCAGCTGGAGGAGCTGGAGAAGTGCGTGAGGATCAAGGAGGAGGAGGCGGCTCATGTTGACCTGCTCATCGACGATGCCACAAGGTGAGTGGACCTGGAATTGGCCAGAATTCTGAGGAGGGAGGTGTTCCCGTTCCCTTTAGAGCAGGTTGAAGTCGCTTAGTTTGTACGTGGTTAATGAGGGACAGTGACAGCCCCCCCCAAGCTTTAAATCCTTGGTGTGGACACTTCCCTCAGGTGTAATTGGGAGCTGCCCGTTCCTGGTCATCCCTGGGGTATTCCAGGATGTGCAGCCAGCTTCCCTCCCTGTCCTGCAGAGCCATCGACAAGTGTGAGACGTTGGCCAAGGAGTTGTACTCCATGATGGGCCTCCAGTACCGGGAGAGCAGCTCCGAGGACGAGGCCCCGGCGGCCACGGAGGTGATCGAGATCCCGGACGAGGATGACGACGTCATGAGCGTGGACTCGGGCTGGAAGCACAGTTCAGTAAATCCCAGTGTGCCCAGGACAGCGGGGGGAGCAGGATAAGGGACTGCTCTTTGCTCATGAGGAGCATCTGCCACGTCCTGTTGATGTTCCCCGATTCCTGGAATCCCAAACTGGAATTTCACCCTTTCCCAATCTCCCTGACTGTTGTCCCCATCCAGCACTGCTTCCCATTAAAAAACATGAATGAGGAAAAGCCTTGTTTGAGTGGAGTCCCTGACAGGAGTTTAAGGTGGAGGCTTTTCCCTGTCCCCTCTTTTTTCTGTGGTTTAATTAGGATGGATTTTTTTTCTCCCCCAAAAATGTTTTAAACCACTTTTTCCTCTTTCACTCACAGGCACCAACAGCTCCAGAATCTCCAAGGATCAGAGTCTGGTGAGTGAGAAGGTCCTGACTACAGATGAGTCTTCAAGTGGGGCTTTTCCTGGGACACAGTGTTTGTGTTTGGTGCAAAAAAAGAAAAGGTTTTCTCCATAACTCTCCTGTCTTTTCCCTTCCAGCTGCGGGAAGCAATGGCTGCCATGAGGAGATCTGCCCGGGACGTTGCGAAATTCATGGATGCTGTGAACAGGAAAACAAGCTCCCAGGAAGCACAAAAAGGTGTGGGACCTTCCAGGGGCCAACAGACCCCCTTGTATGCCCTGGCCCTGGGCCTTTGCTTCCCAAAAAAGGCAAACAACGATGCAGTTTGTTTGCTGGGGAACTTCATCAGGATTTATTGACTCCAGGTTCCCATTTTCCTTTAATTTAAGTTCTATTGATTCCAAACTCCTGTTTTAAGTCCTCTCCATGCAGTAGAACAGGGGCAGTTGGGCTGCCTGAGGGGAAGCAAAGCAGGAATTCCTCCTGCTGCAGCTCCGAGGGATGTGGTTCCAGCTGTAATTGCAGCAGAAAAGGGAGCTCTGGGTGATTCATAACTGATTGTTGTTCCTTGGCAGGGGCACAGCCCCCCCCGGAATGTCCTGGCACTGCCCAGCCCACTGTCCCTGCGGCCCCTGGGGACGATCTCAACACTGACGGGGATCTCAAGGTGGGCATGAGGATTCTGGGCAAGAAAAGAACCAAGACGTGGCACAAAGGGACCTTGATTGCCATCCAGACAGTCGGTAGGTGCTGGGCATGAGGCTTCCCCTGGGCTTTGGGTGGGAGCCGTGGATTAAAAGGTGCCAGAGCACCTGGTGTCAAACCTGGAAGGGACAGTGGGAGCAAAACACCTTTGCTGTTCCACTCTCCAGATCAATTCTGGAGAGATTTTAAAAAACTCTGAGTTATCTGTGAGTGAGCAGGCTCAGAGCGACCCAGCGTGTTGCGTTTCTGGCAGGAAACCACTCGGCCTGTGTTTGCTTTCGCTTTCATTTACCTTCTGCTTGTCTTGAAACGCCTCCCCAGGTGCTGGCAAGAAATACAAAGTGAAATTTGACAACAAGGGGAAGAGTTTGCTCTCGGGCAACCACATTGCCTACGACTACCACCCGTGTCCTGAGAGGCACCACGTGGGCAGCAGGGTGGTGGCGAGGTACAAGGATGGCAATCAGATGTGGCTCTATGCTGGGATCGTGGCTGAGACCCCCAACGTCAAGAATAAAGACAGGTATTCCTTTTTCCCAGGGTCATGGACCCCCAGCTCTGGGTTGTTTGTTTTTTGTTGTTGTTTGAGGCAAAAAAAGCTTATTTGGGTATCCTTGGGGTGCTGAATTTTGCCCTCCCAGGGAACGAGTTCTGAGAGTTTCTTTCATGTTATCTCTGAAACCTCAGGGTGGAGCTTCCAACTCTCTTGCTCGTGGCCCTGAGTCAGGAATTAGATCTGCTAATTTATTCAAATTATCACCCAGATGTGGAGTCTGGGCTGCCTGAGGTGTGAAACAGTGGGAGGAAATGGGAGCCCTGGAAGGGTTTAGTGCCAGCAGTGCTGTCAAAGCACTTTGGGAGGGGAAGGAGCAGGTTTGGAGCAGCTTTTTTCGGGAATAAGGGGCAGGGCTGCTCCGGTCTGGTAAAATCTCGGCTTGTGGTTTCCCTGAAGAGGCTGATGAAGGATTTAAGGACTCTGGGTCTGCCATGAACTGTGTTGAGCTGCACCTGACGCATGTTTAGTAACGGGAAACGAGCTGCATTTACGGCTCACGCTGCAGATTCGCTCCTGGTTGTGGTGCTGCCGCCTCACCCTGCCCCTCGGGGTGCCTTACCCAGGGTTCAGGCTCCTCGCCCTGCCCTCCCCCAGGAGGAACAGGAGAGGTTCTCCCCTTCCCTCCTGTGACGTGGAGCTGTTTTCTGTTCAGCTCCCCTCCTGATTCCTGCCTGTTTTCCAGGTTCCTGATCTTCTTCGACGACGGCTACGCGTCGTACGTGAAGGAGTGGGAGCTGTACCCAGTCTGCCGGCCACGTGAGTGATCCCATCCCACCTGGGGAGGCTTGGGCTCAAAAACCAGGGGGCAGAGGGTGTGTCCCCTCCGGGGCTGTGCCTGGAGGCATCTGCAGTCCTGGGTTATTGCCAGGCTGGGTTCAGGACGTGCCCCACCACCAAAATTCCAGCCCCTCGATTGACCATATGTAAAAATCCACCAGGGATTTCCTAAAAGAAAACAATTAAAGCTTCTGTCTGTTTCATCCTCTTCCCTTTTTCTCATCCATCTCTTTCCATACAGTGGAAAAAACGTGGGAAGACATCGAGGATGTTTCCTGTCGGGATTTCATCGAGGAGTACATCACTGCCTACCCCAACCGGCCCATGGTGCTGCTGAAGAATGGGCAGCTCATCAAAACCGAGTGGGAAGGGACCTGGTGGAAATCCA